AGCCCTCGTGGCAGGGGAGCGCCCTGATCATGAGTGCGGGCAGAGGCAGGGACGCGCCGTCCCTCCCCCGTTTCCTCTGTTCCCCGCGGTGCGCCGGCTCCGGGGCGGGGGCCTCCCTCTGCTGCATTGCAGGGAGATGCCCAAGTGACGAGCCTCCCTCCCCCGGCCGTTTCCAGCGCAGGGCCGAGGGGAGAGGTTCGGGAGCGAACGGCCCATCTCTCGGGCAGCAGGGGGACGGAGCCTGGGCTCAGACACCCCACGTGACCCCGGAGTACGGGGGGCAGGGGCGACTCCTCCAGCTCTCGCTTAGAGAGAGCCAGCAGGAGCCGAGGTGACTCCATCGCACGGCCGTGCCCGTCGGGGAAGGGCTTCTGGCCGCTGGCTCTCCCATGACTATGGAGAACCCTCCAGCTCTCGCTTAGAGAGAGCCAGCAGGAGCCGAGGTGACTCCATCGCACGGCCGTGCCCGTCGGGGAAGGGCTTCTGGCCGCTGGCTCTCCCATGACTATGGAGAACCCTCCAGCTCTCGCTTAGAGAGAGCCAGCAGGAGCCGAGGTGACTCCATCGCACGGCCGTGCCCGTCGGGGAAGGGCTTCTGGCCACTGGCTCTCCCATGGCTATGGAGAACCCTCCAGCTCTCGCTTAGAGAGAGCCAGCAGGAGCCGAGGTGACTCCATCGCACGGCCGTGCCCGTCGGGGAAGGGCTTCTGGCCGCTGGCTCTCCCATGACTATGGAGAACCCTCCAGCTCTCGCTTAGAGAGAGCCAGCAGGAGCCGAGGTCACTCCATCGCACGGCCGTGCCCGTCGGGGAAGGGCTTCTGGCCGCTGGCTCTCCCATGACTATGGAGAACCCTCCAGCTCTCGCTTAGAGAGAGCCAGCAGGAGCCGAGGTCACTCCATCGCACGGCCGTGCCCGTCGGGGAAGGGCTTCTGGCCGCTGGCTCTCCCATGACTATGGAGAACCCTCCAGCTCTCGCTTAGAGAGAGCCAGCAGGAGCCGAGGTCACTCCATCGCACGGCCGTGCCCGTCGGGGAAGGGCTTCTGGCCGCTGGCTCTCCCATGACTATGGAGAACCCTCCAGCTCTCGCTTAGAGAGAGCCAGCAGGAGCCGAGGTCACTCCATCGCACGGCCGTGCCCGTCGGGGAAGGGCTTCTGGCCGCTGGCTCTCCCATGACTATGGAGAACCCTCCAGCTCTCGCTTAGAGAGAGCCAGCAGGAGCCGAGGTCACTCCATCGCACGGCCGTGCCCGTCGGGGAAGGGCTTCTGGCCGCTGGCTCTCCCATGACTATGGAGAACCCTCCAGCTCTCGCTTAGAGAGAGCCAGCAGGAGCCGAGGTCACTCCATCGCACGGCCGTGCCCGTCGGGGAAGGGCTTCTGGCCGCTGGCTCTCCCATGACTATGGAGAACCCTCCAGCTCTCGCTTAGAGAGAGCCAGCAGGAGCCGAGGTCACTCCATCGCACGGCCGTGCCCGTCGGGGAAGGGCTTCTGGCCGCTGGCTCTCCCATGACTATGGAGAACCCTCCAGCTCTCGCTTAGAGAGAGCCAGCAGGAGCCGAGGTCACTCCATCGCACGGCCGTGCCCGTCGGGGAAGGGCTTCTGGCCGCTGGCTCTCCCATGACTATGGAGAACCCTCCAGCTCTCGCTTAGAGAGAGCCAGCAGGAGCCGAGGTCACTCCATCGCACGGCCGTGCCCGTCGGGGAAGGGCTTCTGGCCGCTGGCTCTCCCATGACTATGGAGAACCCTCCAGCTCTCGCTTAGAGAGAGCCAGCAGGAGCCGAGGTCACTCCATCGCACGGCCGTGCCCGTCGGGGAAGGGCTTCTGGCCGCTGGCTCTCCCATGACTATGGAGAACCCTCCAGCTCTCGCTTAGAGAGAGCCAGCAGGAGCCGAGGTCACTCCATCGCACGGCCGTGCCCGTCGGGGAAGGGCTTCTGGCCGCTGGCTCTCCCATGACTATGGAGAACCCTCCAGCTCTCGCTTAGAGAGAGCCAGCAGGAGCCGAGGTCACTCCATCGCACGGCCGTGCCCGTCGGGGAAGGGCTTCTGGCCGCTGGCTCTCCCATGACTATGGAGAACCCTCCAGCTCTCGCTTAGAGAGAGCCAGCAGGAGCCGAGGTCACTCCATCGCACGGCCGTGCCCGTCGGGGAAGGGCTTCTGGCCGCTGGCTCTCCCATGACTATGGAGAACCCTCCAGCTCTCGCTTAGAGAGAGCCAGCAGGAGCCGAGGTCACTCCATCGCACGGCCGTGCCCGTCGGGGAAGGGCTTCTGGCCGCTGGCTCTCCCATGACTATGGAGAACCCTCCAGCTCTCGCTTAGAGAGAGCCAGCAGGAGCCGAGGTCACTCCATCGCACGGCCGTGCCCGTCGGGGAAGGGCTTCTGGCCGCTGGCTCTCCCATGACTATGGAGAACCCTCCAGCTCTCGCTTAGAGAGAGCCAGCAGGAGCCGAGGTCACTCCATCGCACGGCCGTGCCCGTCGGGGAAGGGCTTCTGGCCGCTGGCTCTCCCATGACTATGGAGAACCCTCCAGCTCTCGCTTAGAGAGAGCCAGCAGGAGCCGAGGTCACTCCATCGCACGGCCGTGCCCGTCGGGGAAGGGCTTCTGGCCGCTGGCTCTCCCATGACTATGGAGAACCCTCCAGCTCTCGCTTAGAGAGAGCCAGCAGGAGCCGAGGTCACTCCATCGCACGGCCGTGCCCGTCGGGGAAGGGCTTCTGGCCGCTGGCTCTCCCATGACTATGGAGAACCCTCCAGCTCTCGCTTAGAGAGAGCCAGCAGGAGCCGAGGTCACTCCATCGCACGGCCGTGCCCGTCGGGGAAGGGCTTCTGGCCGCTGGCTCTCCCATGACTATGGAGAACCCTCCAGCTCTCGCTTAGAGAGAGCCAGCAGGAGCCGAGGTCACTCCATCGCACGGCCGTGCCCGTCGGGGAAGGGCTTCTGGCCGCTGGCTCTCCCATGACTATGGAGAACCCTCCAGCTCTCGCTTAGAGAGAGCCAGCAGGAGCCGAGGTCACTCCATCGCACGGCCGTGCCCGTCGGGGAAGGGCTTCTGGCCGCTGGCTCTCCCATGACTATGGAGAACCCTCCAGCTCTCGCTTAGAGAGAGCCAGCAGGAGCCGAGGTCACTCCATCGCACGGCCGTGCCCGTCGGGGAAGGGCTTCTGGCCGCTGGCTCTCCCATGACTATGGAGAACCCTCCAGCTCTCGCTTAGAGAGAGCCAGCAGGAGCCGAGGTGACTCCATCGCACGGCCGTGCCCGTCGGGGAAGGGCTTCTGGCTCTCCCATGGCTATGGAGACATTTTAGAGGTTCCCCTCCAGCAGCGGGAGCGGAGGAGGCGAGACCCGTTCTTCCCGGGCCAGGGTGGAGACAGCCGGTCCCATTTCCAGACACGTTGCGGGAGAAACCTCGCTCCGTGCTCTGGGCACGTCCCTCTGCAATGAAAGTCGGTGGGTGAAACGGAGGCTCAGCCAACGCCCCCGGCCAAGCGCACCGGAGTTTAGGAGCAGAGTTTGCTCCCCCGACCAAGCAACAGTCCTCCGAGAGCTAAGGCGACCCACCAACCCACCTCTGCTCCCACTGCAGCCCATAGACCAGCCCCGGTGGGGCAGAGTTAAGGTGACGTTTGGTGCTTTAGATGCTCCCCCTAAAAGTCGGCACTGGCCGAGGAGCGACGGGGATTTCTGCCTTGGTTTGCCCTGCGAGTTGAACCCAGGTGAGGACAGAAGAAAAGGCCCGTGAAGGTGGAGGAGAAAACCAGGTGCTTGGCTCGGGCACTGGTGGAAGGAGCCGGAAGGATCAGAGCCGACTCACCGGACTGAACAAAATCAGCATCGTCCCCCGCAGCTTGGTGTGCAGCCACCAGCCCCCCCTCAGGCTGCTCTGAATTTGGGGGCTGGACCGGGGGGCTGGTTGCCGAGCTGCGTGTCTCCTGCCCGCTTGGCGGCTCGGCTTTACACCGTCCTTACCCAGGGTCACTCCGGACGACGTAAAATCGGACTCAGGGGTCACGGTAAGACAAACCGAGGGTCTTCATTTGGACCCACACGGACATCACAGCGGCTGGGGGGTTAGAGCAAAGGCCCACCCAGCCCAGTGTCCTGTCGGCCACAGCGGCCAGTGCCAGGTGCCCAGAGGGAGGGAACAGAATCGGGAAACATCCAGTGACCCCTCCCCTGTCGCCCATTCCCAGCCCTGACACACAGAGGCCAGGGACACCCGCCCTGCCCAGCCTGGATAACAGCCACTGATGGACCAAACCTCCATGAATCTATCCAGCTCTTTTTTGAACTCTGTGACAGTCCTGGCCTTCACAACAATCTCCTCTGGCGAGGAGTTCCATGGGTTAACTGTGCGCTGCATGAAGAAAACCTTCCTTTGGCTTGTTTAAAACCTGCTAGGACCCAATTCAAGCAGCAATGGGCTTAAACTGCAGCCAGGGGGGTTTAGGTTGGACATTAGGAAAAAGTTCCTGCCTGTCCGGGTGGTCAAACACTGGAATAAATTGCCCAGGGAGGTTGTGGAATCCCCATCCCTGGAGATATTGACGGTCGCTCGCACAGGGAGGCGTTTCCACTTCCGTGGCCCTTCCCTGGAGCTTTCCCAGCTATGACTCTCGAGGTCCCTTGAGGTTCTATGTTTTTAGTAGAGCTCCCTGTAACGAGGCACATTCAGGCACCGAGTGTGCCAGACGTGAGCAGAGAACGGGGGAGTCTCCCCTGGGACGTGGTGAGTCCCATAAACCACGGCTGGAGACCTGCAGGGTGGCTCATGTGGGGCATGTGTTCTAGGTCTTGGCAGGCGCAGGCCAGTGAGTCTAACGTCAGCCCCGCTCACCCTGCGTGACAACAGTCGTCCACAGCCCAACGCGATCTGCTGGGGGACGTCTCAACGGGCCTTTTGTAACGGGAGCGCCAGCCTCACCGATCTCCTCGAGTTCTTTGACAGGGTGGCCAGGGGGAGCCCGTGGGCGGAGCGGGCTGAGAGTCCCAGGACAAGGTCCTTCCCCAAAGCTCGTAAGCAAAGTGGGGGGTCCAGGGATCAGAAGGAAGCCCCCTCGTTAAGCAGTAGGTGGTTAAAGGACAGGAGACCGGGGTGGGAGTAAACGCTCGGTTTTCAGCGCAGAGAAGGTAACTAGGGGCCCCCCCAGGGCTCCATACCGGGTCCAGTCTACTCACCCTATTCATGAGTGATCTGGAGAAAGGGGGCCAGCTTGCAGCTGACACAAACTGACCCGGAAAGCGAGGTCCAGGCAGACTGGAAAGTTACCGGGGCTCTCACGCAGCCGGACAGACAGGAGACAGTCAGGGGGGAAAACACCAAGGCCACAGTGCGGGGTGTGAATTAGCAGTGAGCCCTGGAAAGCGGCTCTCAACCCTAATCCTGTCCTCAGAAGTCAAGGAGAACAATTTGTCTCCCTCCTCCTTGTGACACCCTGTTAGATACCTGAAAACGGCTTCATGTCCCCCCTCAGTCTTCTCTTTTCTAAACTAAACAAACCCAATTCCTTCAGTCTCCTCTCACAGCTCCTGTTCTCCAGACCTTTCATCATTCTCGTTGCTCTTCTCTGGCCCCTCTCCGATTTCTCCACATCCTTCTTGAAATGCGGTGCCCAGAACTGGACACAATCCTCCAGCTGAGACCTAACTAGTGCAGAGCAGAGCGGGAGAACGACTCCTCGTGTCTTGCTCACTACACGCCTGCTTTGCAACAGCGTCCCACTGTCGACACCGAGTGCCTAACTACCTCTGACCACCTGGCCCTTGGGGCCGGTGGCCCCTGCGAGGGATGGGCCCTGGGGTAGAAACGCTGGGCTGAGGTGCTTAAAACGGCATTCAGGCGCCTAGAGCCCTTTGTGAGTCAAGCCCTGAGCTGCGGCGTGTGCCCTGCAGCGTAATGCCTAAAATCCGTCTCCCTGCGTTTTCTCTCTCTCCCTCCGGCCCCCGGGCTTTGGCCTTCCCTCCGCAGGGCCCCCTCCGGGAGACATGCCCAACGGCACCGTCGTGACCGAGTTCCTGCTCCAGGGCTTCTCCGACGGGTGGGACCAGCAGATTCTGCTCTTCGTGCTGTTCCTGGGGCTTTACCTGGCTGCCCTGGTGGGGAACCTGCTCATCCTCGCGGCCGTAGCCTTCAACCGCCGGCTCCACACCCCCATGTACTTCTTCCTGGGGAACCTGTCCCTCCTCGACCTCTGCTACGTCTCTGTCACCGTCCCCAAGGCCATGGCGGGCGCCCTCACCAGCAGCAGACGCATCTCGTTCTCCGCCTGCGCCGCCCAGGTCTTCCTGGTGGTAACGTGCGCCGTGGCGGAGCTGGCCCTGCTCACGGTGATGGCCTTCGACCGCTACGTGGCCATCTGCCACCCGCTGCACTACACGATGACCATGAGCAGAGGCGCCTGTGTCCGGCTGGCGGCAGGTTCCTGGATCGGCAGCGCCGTCTGCTCCGCATTGCACACGGCCAACACCTTCCGGCTGCCCTTCTGCGGGTCCAACGTCGTGGCTCAGTTTTTCTGCGCGATCCCGCAGCTGCTGAGGCTCTCCTGCTCCGAGACACGCGCCAACGAGCTCGTCATGATCGCCCTCGGCTCGCTGCTGGACGGGTTCTGCTTCGCCCTGATCATCGCGTCCTACGGCTGCATCTTTTCCACCGTGATGAGGATCCCCTCGGAGCAGGGCCGGTACAAAGTCTTCTCCACCTGCCTCCCCCATCTGCTCGTGTTCGGTTTGTTCATCGGCACAGCATCGTTTACCTACATGCAGCCCACGTCGACGTCTTCCCCCGCCCTGGACCGCCTGGCCACGGTGCTGTACTGCCTGGTGCCCCCGCTCATGAATCCGATCATCTACAGCCTCAGGAACTCGGAGGTGAAAGCCTGTCTGTGGACGATGCTGGGTGGCAGACTCTTCCCCACGAAGGACAGCTTCCTCCCGCGAAACCCGTAAGTCTGCAGACGTGGGCGGTGCCCATGAGCGCTCACGATCCCAGCTACGGGGTTTGCTCGGCTCGGAGGCACTGCCAGACTATTCCTTGGTTTTTCCGGTTTTCCTGTTACAGGCTCACTCCCCTCCCCTCTGAGGCTTTCACCCTCGTAGCGTACGCCTGGAGCAAAGTCGTGTCCGCCTGGAGCAAAGTCGTCCCCCGCCGCACCCCGTCGTTTGATAAGAGGAAAAATTCCAGAGGCAGCCTGAAAAAGTATGACTGAAGCATTTGCAGTGTTTTGCCAGAGCAAAATGGATCCTAGCTATTGGCACAAAATGTTATTGATCGGTGGGTAGACTAGCACGCGCAAGTCTCGCTTTGTATAAACATAGGAGAGAAGATCTAATCAGTGGGCGGGACTGGGTAAGGGCTCCCCCCAACCTTGTTCACTGCCACGAGAGGGTGAACCAGTTCCTATAGCCTTTGTGGACGCCTCTGCGCGTGGGGAAAGAAAGAGGCCGCGACCTCCTGTCTGACAATCGGAGGGTAACAACATTGGAATTGTGCATGTGAGTGTGAGCGTCTGATTCCTAGGAATAAGTGTATGAATAGTCATAGTTGGATAACTGAGTAGCTTGTGCTAGGGAAAGGTGTTGTTACACGGTCTGTGCTAACTATCCCATGCATTGAAATCGGTCTGTGAAGGCTAGGACTATCCCAGGGTCTGTCTACACTACATAGTTAATTCCAACTAACAGACATTAGTTCGAATTAACTTTGCTAGGCGCTACACAGGCAAACCACTAGTTCGAACTTAATTCGAACTAGGTAAACCTCATCCCACGAGGACTAACGCCTAGTTCGAATTAAGGGCTGTGTAGAAACTCTGGGCTGAGGTGCTTAAAACGGCATTCAGGCGCCTAAAGCCCTTTGTGAATCAAGCCCTGAGCTGCGGCGTGTGCCCTGCAGCATAATGCCTAAAATCCGTCTCCCTGTGTTTTCTCTCTCTCCCTCCGGCCCCCAGGCTTTGGCCTTCCCTCCGCAGCTTGCCCCGGTGGCCACGCTGGGCACCACCACGGAAACTCC